AAGATATTCAAGGACAGTATCTAGGTCCTGAGTTCAACCCAAGGACTGGCAAAAAAAAAAAATCAATCTATCTATATGTCTGTCTTTGTGTCTGTCTATAAAGTACTGGCAACACATCCAAATAGAGATAAATATAGATATGACTGGAGGTGTGGCTCAAGTGGTAGAACAACCTGCCTAGTAAGGTGGAGACTCTGAGTTTAATCTCTAGTACTTAAAAGGAAAGGACAGACATCCCAACAAACACACAGCTCCTGCCAGAAAGCAGCTCCTGGGTTCATCCTAGCATCTAGGGCTGTCCCCTCCCCTCTCACTGTCCACAGCCACAGAACTGATACCCTCTCCCCTCCCCCCATCCCCTGGATTTCTTGGAAAGCTAAGGAGTGTGTTGGAGCACATGATGCAAATGACAAAGTAGAGCACTCAGAAATTGGGGGCCTTAAAACAATATTTACTATCCAGGCATATTTGATCCAGTACCAGTTTATCCCACTTGAGCAGATTCTGAATCTCAGTGTCTTCTCCACTTCCTTGTTGCCATGTGGAGCATCCTCCTGGGCTCACTGGAGTCTGGCCTGGATTCCTGGCATAAACAGCCACCAAGTAACCTCAGTAACATCTTGGGCACATCACAAGACCAATGTGTGTCAAAATCATTTTCATTTCCCTTGTATTTTACTCAGTGTAATAGTCCCATTGTCGGGCTGAGAAGGTGGCTCAGTGGTAGAGCACTTGCCTTGCATGCATGAGGCCCTGGGTTCGATTCCTCAGCACCACATAAGCAAAAAGAAAAAAGCCGGAAGTGGCTCTGTGGCTTAAGTGGTAGAGCGCTAGCCTTGAGCTGAAGAGCTGAGGGACAGCGCCCAGGCCCAGAGTTCAGGCCCCATGACCGGACCAAAAAAAAAAAGAAAATAGTCCCATTGTCCTCGACTCGGAGGGCATTGGTTCTTCTGCACAGTCTTACTAATCGTCCACACACTGATTCTCTCTGCTCATATTTCCTGCCATCCATGAGCCGACCTGATTTAATCTGTTAATCAGCAATGGTTTGGGTCAGAAATAGAAATGAAATATCTCATTGTGTTTTAATGCATATGATTCTGTTTCTGTGAACAAACCTCACTCTGATGAGACATTTCATTTATTTTACATTTTCTCTTTTTCTCTGATGGCTTTGATGCGCATCACACTTACTCTGCCAGTGTGCTGTTGTTTTAGCACAGCTATGACGTCACTGCCTGCCACCTATGTCAGTGAGGCACACATCACCTCCCCCATGCCTCAGAGCATGGCAGCCTGCTTTTCTTTTCTTGCCTAAGTTTGAAATGATTGCCATGTGCTGGTTAAGAAAAGATTAAGAAGCCGGGCACTGGTGGCTCACGCCTGTAATCCTAGCTACTCAGGAGGCTGAGATCAGAGGATTGCGGTTCAAAGCCAGCCTGGGCAGGAAAGTTCGTGAGACTCTTATCTCCAATAAACCGCTAGAAAACCGGAAGTGGTGCTGTGGCTCAAGCGGTAGAGTGCTCGCCTTTAGCTGAAGAGCACAAGGACAGTGCCCAAGCCCAGAGTTCAAGCCCCACGACCGATTAAAAAAAAAAGAAGAAAAGATTAAGATGCTTTTAGACTTGAAATGCTGTTTAGTTAACACTTTTTTTTTTTGCCAGTCCTGGGGTTTGTACTCAGGGCCTGGGCACTGTCCATGAGCTTCTTTTGCTCAAGGCAAGCACTCTACCACTTGAGCCACAGCATCATTTCTGGCTTTTTCTGTGTATGTGGTACTGGGGAATCGAACCCAGGGCTTCATGTGTGCTAGGCAAGCACTCTACCACTAAGCCACATTCCCAGCCCACTTTTTTTTTTTTTGCCAAGTACTAAGATTCTTAACTCAGGACCTCACACTTGCTCAGTTTGCTTACTCAGTTGGCACTCTACCACTTGGGCCATACCTTGCTTTGTTTTGGGGGGGTTTTTTGTTGGTAATTTTGGAGAAACTCTGAGCTAATGATCCTGGCTGTTCACCTAGCTAAATAATTAGGAGCAAGTAACCTTGAAATCATTTCTGTCAGTACTGGAGATTGAATTTAGGGCCTTGAGCTTGCTAAACCACATGCAGTCATTTTGCTTTTATTTTTTTCAAGCTTTTGCCTGAGTTGGCCTTAGACCATGATCCTCCTCCCCCAGCCTCCTGAGTGACTGGGATTTCAGGCGTATCACATTGATCCCTCTTAGAAATCTTGATGTTGGCTGGATGCTGGTGGCTCACTCCTGTAATCCTAGCTATTCAGGAGGCTGAGATCCAAGGATTGTGGTTCAAAGCCAGCCTGGGCAGGAAAGTCATGAGACTCTTATCTCCTAGAAAACTAATCACACTAGAAAACCAGAAGTGGCGCTGTGGCTCAAAGTGGTAGAGCACTAGCCTTGAGCTGAAGGGCTGAGGGACAGTGGCAAGGACCAGAGTTCAAGACCCATAACCACCACCAACAAAAACAAAAAAAAATTTTTTTTTTTGGACCCAGTCGTGGGGCCTGAACTCTGGGCCTGGGGGCTGTCCCTCAGCTTTTCAGCTCAAGGCTAGCGCTCTACCACTTGAGCCACAGCACTACTTCCGGCTTTTTTCTTTGTGCTTATGTGGTGCTGAGAAATCAAACCCAGGGCCTCAGGCATGCAAGGCAAGCGCTCTACCACTGAGCCACCTTCCCAGACCCAAAAACAAAAATTTTGATGTCTCAGTCTTCTCAGCTCTGAAGGGAGGTCCACGTTGTCCCCCTCTTTCTGGGTTCCTGTAAGGGTTAAAGAGACAGCCCCTCTACCACACAGGATTTGACTTGGTCCTCATCATCTTTTCTACTTCTTTTGCTCCAGGCAAAAACCACACCATGTGGCATTCTGTTTTGGTGTTCCGATGAGTCCCTTCCTGGGAGTGATAAATAGAACTCAGCTGTCCTCCAAGGGTAAGATGGAGCAGAATAGAATACTCTCCCCTGAGCCCATCCACCCTCATCCTTCCTCAAGGCTGGGTTTGAAGCCTCCTCCCATGCCCCCAGAGGACACGGGTCCCCTGGGTAATTGGTAAATGTTGTGTCACTGCCGGCTGTGCTGTGGGGTTAATGCCTGTTTCAGGAGTTGCATGACGTCTGTAGACTCCATAGTGGCGGTTGGCATGAGTGGGGTGTGGCAAGGGGTGGAGCAGACCTCAGGGGGAGCTAAAAGGCCTCTGTTCATTCACAACTAGCTAGCCGAACCCCCAAGACAACCGGGCGCTTACCTGTTCCTTCCTTAGCAGACTGGTCAAATGGAGGCCAAGGGGCTCAGGTTTTTAGTGTGAAAAACCAGCAGCCTCACAGGTTTTACCATTTTGGGGGTTGTTGTTGGATCTGAAGGGGCCAGGGAGGCCCTGTGGAGTCTCCTCCGGCCTCAGGACACGTATTCACCCTTGTGGACCTTCCAGACCCTGGGGTGGCTTTTCCTGGCCAGAGCTTGGCCCGGTAGGGACACAGAGTTGTGTCCACTCCCCACAGCCACAGGGACCGGGGCCCTGTGATAGCGACACACACACACACACCACATCACCCCACCCAAAACATACACCAGACACACACACACACCACCCGACATACATACCACCCCCCACCTGACACACACACACACACCACCCAACACACACACCACCCCCCCACCTGACACACACACACACCACCCAACACACATACCACCCCCCACCTGACACACACACACACACACCACCCAACACACATACCACCCCCCACCTGACACACACACACACCACCACATCACCCCACCCAAAACATACACCAGACACACACATACACCACCCGACACACATACCACCCCCTCACACACCCCACGCACCTACTACCCACACAACCTGAAATATTCACCAGACACACACACCACCTGACACACGCACCACCCCCCCACACCACCTGACACATGCACCACCCTCCACACACACACCACCCCCACAACCCAAAACATACACCAGACAGACACATACACTACCCGACACACATACCACCCCCCACACCACCCAACACACACACCACCCAAAACATATACCAGACACACATACCTCCCCACATACGATCCAACACACACACCATCACCCACACAACACACAACCTGAAACATACACTAGACACATATACACCACCCAACACACACACCAACCCCCACATACATCACCCGACACACACGCCACCTGACACACACAACCCAACCTCACACCACCCAAAACATACACCAGACACATACACCACCACACACACACCACCCAACACACACACCATCACCCACACACAACCCAAAACATACACCAGACACACACATATACCACCCGACACACATACCACCCCACCACACCCACCATGTACCACCCCACAAACACACCACCCATACAACCCAAAACATACACGAGACACACACCACCGGACACACAACCTGAAACACACCACACACACACACCACCCAACACACTTACCACGCCACACACACCACCCTCACAACCCAAAACACACACCTCACACACAACCTGAACATATTCCAGACACACACATACACCACCTGACACACACACATACCCCCCCCATACCACCCAACAGCACTGCTGTCAGAGGTTCTGTTGCAGGCCTGCAGGTGACAGAATCGGAGCACTAGAAAGGTTAAGCAGCTCAGCCACAGTCCCTCAGCAGCTGCACAACAAAGCCAGTTCTGGACACGGGGATTTTGTCCCCAAAGCCCACAGAAAACAAGTGCATTGCACTGCTTCTCCATGCCACTTCCCTATCCACTGCCCTATCACCCAGGATGGGAGGAGTGGGTGGGCGGGGTTGTGGGTGGGCGGGGTTGTGGATGGGCGTGGTCAGAAGTGGTGTGTCATTGAGTGGGTGGGGCCTGTGGGACAGCCTCTGGGAGGCCATGGTCCTCTATGTCAGGGCTGCTTTCTGTTTGGCCCTCAGGCCTCTGCCTGTCCCAGGAAGAAGATGACCAAATTCCAGGTGAGTTATTCTCACTTCTGCCTGTAATCTGTTATCCCATTTCTCAGAGGCCACCCGCTGTGGACACATTTTTTTTTTTCCCCCTGAATGTAAAGAATAGCACCACACGTTCGATACTGGTATTTTGTTTTCTTTTGTTTTACACCAATCCTGGGGCTTGACATCAGGGCCTTTGTACTGTTTCTGAGCTTTTTGGGGCTCAAGGCTGGCACTCTATCATTTGAGCCCACAGCTCCACTTCTGGCTTTTTGCTGGTTTACTGGAGGTAAAGAGTCATGGACTTTCCTGCCCAAGCTGGCTTTGAACTGTGATCCTCAGATCTCAGCCACCTGAGGGGCTAAGATGACAAGCATGAGCCACCACACCTGGCTGCAGTTTTCTGTTCAATGAGCTGGGCCTCACTCCCCATGGTCCCCTGTGCTCTGCTGGGGAGGCTAAGGCAGGAATGCAGGAGATCTGGTCTGTGACACTACAGTTAGGTGTTCGAATCACGTTCTGCATCAATGTGGTGAAACTCCATGTGCCCTAAGGCACTGGGAAATGGGGTAGCTCCATGGCCCCACATTCTCAGTGCCCCCTCTTCCCGGGTAGTCTGCGCAGTTGCAGGAGGTGGTGACGTTCACAGATGTGGCTGTGGTCTTCAGCGAAGAGGAGCTGCAGCTGCTAGACCAGGCCCAGAGACTGCTGCACCGCCATGTGATGCTGGAGACCTTCCAGAACCTTCTGGCCGTGGGTGAGGATGGGCCTGTGTGGCCCAACTGCCCCCCATCTCCCCATTGCATCTGTGGCCCAGGTACCACCTCTCAACTCTTCACAAAGTAGACACCATCAAACATAAAAGATTTTTGCTCTCCTCGCCTTTCTGACAGCACACCAGCCCTTCAAACCTGACCTGATTACCCGGCTAGAGAGGGAAGATGCGCTTGTGACCAAAACAGCCACGCAAGGCCACAGCCACACGTGCTCAGGTGAGAGCCACACTGGGACACAACAGCGCAGAGTGGGGGCTTTTTTTCTTTTTATCAGTCATGGGTCTTGAACTCTGGGCCTGGGCGCTGTCCCTCAGCTCTTCAGCTCAAGGCAAGCACTCTACCACTTGAGCCACAGCACCACTTCCAGTTTTTCTGCTGGTTTATTGGAGGTGAGAGTCTCACAGACTTTCTTGCCCAGGCTGGCTTTGAACCACAATCCTAAGATCTCAGCCTCCCGAGTAGCTAGGGTGACAGGTGTGAGCCACCGGTGCCTGGCTTCTTTTTCTTTTTGCTAGTACAGAGGTTTGAACTCATTGCCTTGAGCTTTTGAGGTAAGCACTCTTCCACCTGAACCACACCCCTAGTCCTTTTTTGGCTTTAGTTGTTTGCTTTTTTTTTTGAATTTGACCTCACAATTTAATTGTCTTCATAACAAAAGTTGGAGCTTAAAACTGGATCACTTGCCCCTTTCTCTTTTTATCTCTACCCAATTCAAAATGTTTGCATCTCTTAATAGCTAGCATTCTCTTAGATCTACAGTTGGGCTCAACACATTCAAGTCTCAGCACAATCTTCTTTGTAGTCTTAGCTTTTTTCCGGAAAATTGGCTTAGTCTGACCGCCATAGCCACTCTGCTTCCTGTCATAACGACGCTTTCCCTGGGCATACAGAGAATCCTTGCCCTTCTTGTACTGTGTTACTTTGTGAGGTTGGTGCTTGCCACACTTCTTACAAAAAGTTAACGTTTTAGGAACGTTAACCATGATGGCAGGAAGCCTGCAGCAGCGCCAAAAGTAGTTGTTTTTTTTTTAAATTAGGTTTCTTACTTTTTGTCCAGACTGCAGTCTTCCTCTGTCTGCCTCTCATTGGAGTACCATTGCTAGAACACAAGACAGAATGTGCCAGTTCTCCTTTGAGCTGTCCAGAGGTTCCCCATTCACAGGAAGCAAAACAAGGCTTCCGGGGCTGGGAAGGTGGCTCAGTGGTAGAGCACTTGCCTTGCATGCCTGAGGCCCTGGGTTCCATTCCTTAGCACCACGTAAGAAAAAAGCTGGAAGTGGCGCTGTGGCTCAAGTGGTAGAGCGCTAGCCTTGAGCTGAAGAGCTGAGGGACAACGCCCAGGCCCAGAGTTCAGGCCCCACGACCGGACAAAAAAAAAAAAAGACAAAACAAGGCTTCCGCTGTAACTCTATATTCCCTTTCTCCGTGTCTCTTTCCCTGGGTGCCCCTCCATACTGCTGCCCCTCTCCACTACCAGCGGGCTCTGTCTCAGTTCAATCCCTTGCTCTTCTCTGCCTGAATGAAGTGCTTGATACATGTGTCGCCTTCTCTGTCTTCAGTCCACTTTGGGACAGCTAAGAGGCATAGGATAAATCAGTGCAATTGGAGAATATTCCAGAATGGTAGATGATTCCTTGGCCTAATTGACCATTCTTCCTATGTGAGAGAGAAAGGAGAAATCTCAGAGACAGGCTGCAAGGGAGGCCTGAGGAACCTGGCCGGATTCTGCACAGGGTGGAGCACCCGCACGCAGCGCAAGCGCAGTGGCAGCATTGCTCATCAAAGCAAATTAAATAGGAAATGCTAAAATGACAGGTGAAAGAACAAAGATTATAAGCTGGGCACCTGGCTCACCCCCCATCCTAGCTACTTAGGAAGCTGAGATCTGAAGATCGCAGTTCAAAGCCAGCCCAGACAGGAAAGTCTGTGAGACTGTTATCTCCAATTAATCACAGAAAAAGCTGGAAGTGACTCTGTGGCTCAAGAGGTAGAGCTCTAGCCTTAAGCTGAAGAGCTGAGGGACGGTGCCCAGGCCCAGGCCCAGAGTTCAAGTGCCAGGACTGGCAGGGGGGAGGAAGGGAGGGAGAGAGGGAGGGAAGAAGGAAGCAAGGAAAGAAAGAAAGAAGGAAAGAAAAAGAAAAGAAAGAGAGAGAAAGAAATAAGACCATTTTTCTGGAATCACCATATTTCAGTATATTTTCCAGCTTTTCTTCAACTAATATTAAATGTTGTCCCAAACTTTTTTTCCAATGATGGGAAGAAAGAAAAAGAAAGTCATCACTATTCTTTTTCTTTCTTTCTTTTTTTTGTCAGTCGTGGGGCTTCAACTTTGGGCCTGGGCGCTGTCCCTCAGCTCTTCAGCTCAAGGCTAGCGCTCTACCACTTGAGCCACAGCGCCACTTCCGGCTTTTTTCTTTTTGCTTATGTGGTGCTGAGGAATCAAACCCAGGGCCTCATGTATGCAAGGCAAGTGCTCTACCACTGAGCCACCTTCCCAGCCCCTTTCTTTCTTTTTTGTTGGTTGTGGGGCCTGAACTCTGGGCCTGGGCACTGTCCCTCAGCTCTTCAGCTCAAGGCTAGCGCTCTACCACTTGAGCCACAGCGCCACTTCCGGCTTTTTTCTGCTTTTGTGGTGCTGAGGAATCGAACCCAGGGCCTCATGCATGCGAGGCAAGCGCGCTACCACTGAGCCACCTTCCCAGCCCCAATTGTCACTATTTTTAAAGAACGTTTTTTCCAAAGAAATAAATAAAATGACATGGTGGGATCGTCCTTTAACTCTTCAGCACTGAAACACCCACCCGTCAGAAACTCTCTTACATCCCTGGCTGCTGGCGAATGGTGAATTTGGCCCTAGGGAACGGTGTGCCGACTGCGAGGCTGGGCCTCAGCTCACAGACTTGAAGGAGGCTCCGGGCGGGATCCTGTAGTCTCTGCGAAGCCCTCACTGCGGACTTGTCTGCTTGTCTTTGTCCCCCCAGGAAGCCGGAGTGAAGGTGGCCTGGCGAGGCCCGAGGGCCGGGGATTCCGTCCTCTTTCTCCTGGAGAGATTTCCTTCTACCAAGCCTGGCGACGGGGCCCGGGCGCGCGCGCGGTTACCGCGGGTCTCAGTGCCGGGGAGACCTTGGGGGAGACGCAGGAGCCGCGGCAGCCCCGGGGCGTGGCTCCCCGCCGCCTCTCCGGGCCGCACCCCGCGCCGGGGGACAGCTCTGCGCCCCACTCGGGCCCCGGGGTTGGGAGGGACGAGGACGGCGGGGCGCAGGGGTCCCCGCCGCGCGCGGACCAGGACCCTTGTTCGCGCCAGGGCTGCGGCCGGCGCTGCCCCCCGAGCCCGGGCGTGCGGCCCCCCGCGCCAGCCCCGGCCCACGGCGGCGGCCGTCCCGGTGGTGACTGCCGGGTGCCGGCATCGGAATCCCCGCGCGGCCCCCCGGGGGCGCAGCCGCCCGCGCCCGACCCCTGCAGCACCAGCCCCGGCGGGAACGCCTGCGGCCCAGGCCACCGGCCCACGGCCCACGCCGCGGAAAACCCGCACCCGGAGCGCGGGCGTGGCCTGGACCCCAGCTCGGAGCTGGCCGAGCCCCCGCGCCTGCACGTGGGCCAGGCGCCGCTCCGCTGCGCCGAGTGCGGGCGAGGCTTCCGCCACCGCTCGGCCCTGAGCGCGCACGCGCGTGCGCACGCCGGGGAGAAGCCGCACCGCTGCCCGGAGTGCGGGAAGGGCTTCGCGCGCGGCTCCGACCTCCGGGCCCACCGGCGCGTGCACACCGGGGAGCGGCCGTTCGCGTGCGGGGAGTGCGGGAAGGCCTTCAGCCGCAGCTCCTACCTGAAGGGCCACCAGCGCGTGCACTCGGCCGAGCGGCCGTTCCGGTGCGGGGAGTGCGGGAAGGGCTTCCGGCGGAGCGCGCACCTGCAGGGCCACCGGCGCGTGCACACCGGGGAGCGGCCGTTCACGTGCGGGGAGTGCGGGAAGGGCTTCGGCTGGAGCTTCAACCTGCAGATCCACCGGCGCGTGCACACCGGGGAGCGGCCGTTCGCGTGCGGGGAGTGCGGGAAGGCCTTCAGCAAGGCGGCGGCGCTGCGGGCGCACGCGCGCGTGCACAGCGGGGAGCGCCCGCACCAGTGCGGCCAGTGCGGGCGGCGCTTCGGCCAGCGCGCGCACCTGCGCAGCCACCTGAGCGTGCACGCGGCGCCGCGGCCGCACGTGTGCGCGCTGTGCGGGAAGGGCTTCGGCCAGCGCGCGCACCTGCGGGGCCACCAGCGCGTGCATGCGCGGGCACGGCCGTACGCGTGCGAGCTGTGCGGGCGCGGCTTCAGCCAGGGCGCGCGGCTGGAGGCGCACCGCCGGGCGCACGCGGGGGCCCCGCACCGCTGCCCGCTCTGCGCCAAGGCCTTCGCCGAGCGCGCGCGCCTGCAGGCCCACCTGCGCGGCCCCGCGCACGGCCGCGACCACAGGTGTGCGCAGTGCGGCAAGGCCTTCGCCGGCGGCTCGGGGCTGCGCGCGCACCTGCGCGTGCACACGGGCGAGCGGCCGTTCACCTGCCCCGTGTGCGGCCGGGGCTTCAGCCAGAGGTCCAACCTGCGCGCGCACCAGCGGCTGCACACCGGCGAGACGCCCTACACCTGCGACGCGTGCGGGAAGGGCTTCCGCTGGGGCTCCGGGCTCCTCATCCACCAGCGGGCCCACCGCGGGGACCAGGCCGGCGGGGACCCCCGCCCGCCACCGCCGCTGCCCGCCCCGGACAGCCGGCCCCCAAGCCACGGTCCTCAGGTGCCAACTGAAGTTCACCCATCACCAGCAGAGCCAAAATAAGAAAGATTTTCTCAAAAATCCACGCGTGTCCGCAGGGCCAGCCCAGGCACAATGCCATGGAGACCCCATCTCAACGAGCCGGCCGTGGAGGCACGCATTAACGTTCAGGCAGGAGGCAACAAGACGTGAGGATCATAGTCAGAGGCCGGCCCATGCGAAAACAGGAGACTGTATTTGAAAAAAAGAAAAAAGCAAAAAAGGGGGGGCTGAGAGCGTGGCTGGGGAGGCGCAGCGCCTGCCTGGCAAGTCGGAGGCCACGAGTTCACTCTCAACCATAGCCAAGAAACAAGCAAACGGGGTGTTCTCATCCAACGTTTTAACAGCGGGACGCCAGGAGAGGGCGCCCGGACAGAGGCCGCAAAGCCAGGGCAGAGAGCCAGGATGCAAAACCCCAGCAGGAAGGACCCGCTCTGCCTACGGCTGGGGCTGGGCTGGGCCTGGGCGCATGGCCACGCCTGAGCTCCACGGGCTTCCCCTGCTCACAGCACCTGCCTGTACTTCCTGCCACGTGAGCGAAGGTGTGTAAGGGGACAGTGGAAAACTTTCTGGAGCAAAAATAGGGTTTTGTGTGTGTGTGTGTGTGTGTTGATGCCAGTCCTGGCTTGAACTCAGGGCCTGGGCACTGTCCCTCAGCTCTTCACCTCAAAGCTTGCTCTCTACTACTTAAGCCATAGCGCCACTTCCGGTTTTCTGGTGGTTCATTGGAGAGAAGTCTCACGGACTTTCCTGCTCAGGCTGGCTTTGAACCACAATCCTTAGATCTCAGCCTCCTGAGTAGCTAGGATTATAGGCATTAGCCATACCCAGCAAAACGAGTGTGTGTGTGTGTGTGTGTGTGTGTGTGTGTGTGAGAGAGAGAGAGAGAGAGAGAGAGAGAGAGAGAGAGAGAGAGCTGGGGCTTGAACCTAGGGCCTGAGTGCTGTCCATGAGTTTTCTGCTCAAGGCTAGCGCTCTACCACTTTTATTTTTTTTGCCAGTTCTGGGTCTTGAACTCAGGGCCTGGGCACTGTCCCTGAGCCTCTCTGTGCTCAAAGCTAGCACTCTACCACTTAAGCCACAGTGCCACTTTCAGCTTTTTCTGTGTATGTGGTGCTGAGGAATCGAACCCAGGGCTTCATGCATGCTGGGCAAGCATTTACCACTAAGCCACTTTCCCAGCCCCAAGCACTCTACCACTTTGAGCCACAGCTCCACTTCCTTTTGCTGGCTAACTGGAGAAAAGAGCCTCACAGACTTTCCTGCCCAGGCTCATTTCAAACTGGAATCCTCATAGCTCAGCTGGGGGTACAGGTTTGAGCCACCAGTACCTGGTTCTGTGTGTGTGTGTGTGTGTGTGTGTGTGTTCATTGCACCACAGGGTTTCACTGCATATGTTATGTTTTACTTGCAACATTTTTCATTGCTGCTTTCCTTCATTTCATCAGCTTTCATGAACACCCTTTATGCTGCATCCTATAGTTGCAGTGAATTTCAAATTATTCACCATCTTCCTTTTCTTCTCCTTTCCTTTATCTTTCTGGATATAATTCCACAGTTAGAATCATGTTCTGTAAGCCAGGCGCCGGTGGCTGTAATCCTAGCTACTCAGGAGGTTGAGATCTGAGGATTGAGGTTCAAAGCCAGTCCAGGCAGGAAAGTCCTTAAGACTCTTTATCTCCAATAAACCACCAGAAAACTGGAAGTGATGCTGTGGCTCAAGTGGTAGAGTACTAGTCTTGAGCTGAAGAGCTGAGGGACAGCACTCAGGTCCAGAGGTCAAGCCTCACGACCCACCCAAAAAAATCATGTTTTGTAAAAAATATATATTATATATGCAAATGTGTATACACAAATTGATGCATATAGGGACATATATAGGTACGTACTTATCCATGAATTTGTCTATTCATCTAGCTTCCACATGTGAGCAGAAGCAGGCATTTTCTTTTCTGAGCTCAGCTTGTCTCAATATGTTCAGAGTCCATGCACGCTTGCACTTTGTATAGCTGTGTGACAGTCCACGGCACTCGCGTATGAACAAAGTGGTGTCTGTGCAGCTATGCCCTTCCCCCCACCCCCACCCCCACTGTCGACTCTCGGATGTGGAATGGCGGGGTTATGGGTCAGGTCTGGGGAGAGCATTTCTGTTTAGCTGTGACTGCTCATTGTGGGTTGGTTTATTTCCATTCTCATGTTCTCACGAGGGGCTGGGAAGATGGCTCAGTGGTAGAGTGCTTGCCTTGCATGCATGAGGCCCTGGGTTTGATTCCTCAGCACCATCTAAGCAGAAAAAGCTGGAAGTGGCGCTGTAGCTCAAGTGGTAGAGCGCTCGCCTTGAGCTGAAGAGCTGAGGGACAGTGCCCGGGCCCAGAGTTCAGGCCCCACTACGGACAAAAAAAGAAGAAGAAAAAAAGGAAAAAGAGTCTCATGGACTTTCTTGCCCGGGCTGGCTTTGAACCTTGATCCTCAGATCTCAGCCTCCTGAGTAACTAGGATTACAGGTGTGAGCCACCTGCACTGTCTTTTTTTTTTTTTTTTCCTTCCAGTGTGGGCTCTCTAAGCTAGAAACTATCTCAGCTGCAGCCCAGCCCTACCTGACAGGTCCCGTTGTGTTGTGTTCTCATTTAAACTTCAAATTTTCCTCCCTGGCTAACTGATTGAAAGCTGTTGGGAAGCCGTGTGTCTGTGTGATTTCTCTGGTTTCTTTTGCTCTTGTTCCACTTTTTTCCATTGGGCCCTGAGAGCGCCCGGGGAATTATTTATGACTTGTCTCCTGGCCAACAATGTGACGTCCGGGACCGTGCCAGGGCCCGGAGGGAGCGCCTGCGCACACTGCACGGATGGACATGGCGTCCATCCAGCATCCCTGAGCTTCTGCACTCAAGGCTGGCACTGTACCACTTGAGCCACGGTTCCATTTCTGCCTTTTTGCTGACTAATTAGAGATAAGACACTCATGGACTTTCCTGCCCATACTAGCTTCCAACTGCGATCCTCAGATCTCAGCCTGAGCTGCTAGGATGGCAGGCAGAGGCCGCCAGCGTGGGGCTCGTGTGTTTATTTGCTGTGTGACTCCTGCGATATGGAATGCAGGCCTGGGCCTCACTGTGGGTGTGGGCAGGTGGTGAGACTGGAGCTCTGGTTGAAGCCTTTCCTGCACTCTGCATGCCCCGCTGTGGCTCATCTGATAAGCCTGCGGGTGAGACCCCACGCAGAACCCTGCCCATCCGGGGCACGTGTGAGGCTGCTTTTCACTGTGGATCCCTCTGGTGGGTGTGGAAGCCTGAGTCCGGCAGAGGAGCTGCAGCTTCGGATGTATACGGTCTCTCCCGGGATGTCCCTGTGCCCCCCAGTCATGCTCGTGTGCATTCTCTATAGTGGGAACTCGCTGAAGGCCACCAGAGCCCACTCACATCATAGGGTCTGTGGGACCCCATCGCCGTGGACCCACTGGTGGGCATGATGACTAGAGAAACCACGGAATGGGTTGTCGCATCTCTCACGTCTGTGGGCTTCCTCTCCCACCAGGGCTCCCTCCGGGGAACCTAGCTGAACACGAGGGGCCCATGTGGCGCACACTGCCCAGCTCCGTGGGGTCTCCTACCACATGTGACCTGGAGGCTGGGGGGGCCCATTGTCATTTCTCAGTGGAAAGCCAGCCACGAGAGTCTTTCCCACAGAACTGCAGAACCCAGCTAGCTCCCGTATCACCTGTTGCCAGCCTGGGGAGCAGAAAAGATCTTCATGTGGTAGGGGCCTTCATCCCACCTCCTGGACAACCTCCATCTCCCTGAGGTGCTCGTCTCCTAAAATAAGGAGAATTTGGAGATTGCAGCAGAGCTGGGGCTCAAGTGGTAGCACTCTAGCCGTGAGGCCCCAAAAGCTCAGGGACAACATCCAGGCCCTGAATTCAAATACTAGGTCCAGTACATAGGAAAAAACTCATTTCAAACCAAATCTCTCAAGCTGGGCACTGGTGGCTCACAACTGTCATCCTAGCACCTTGGGAGGCTGAGCCAGAGAACTCTGCTGAAAGCCAGCTGGAAAAGGATAACTTGTGACACATTTATTTTTTTTTGAGGGGGGGATCCGGTCATGGGGCCTGAACTCTGGGCCTGGGCGCTGTCCCTCAGCTCTTCAGCTCAAGGCTAGCGTTCTACCACTTGAGCCACAGCACCACTTCTGCTTTTTCTTTTTACTTATGTGGTGCTGAGGAATTGAACCCAGGGCCTCAGGCATGCAAGGCAAGCGCTCTACCACTGAGCCACCTTCCCAGCCCCCGTGTGAGACTTTTAATTCCAATTAACCATCAAAAAGCCAGAAGTGGAGCTGTGGCTAAAATGGTAGAGTGCTAGCCTTGGGCCAAGAAGCTTAGGGACAGAACTTAGGCCCTGAGTTCAAGCCCTAGGACAGGCACCAAAAAAAAAAAATTCTTTTTTTTTTTTTTTTGTCCTTCATGGGGCTTGAACTCTGGGCCTGGGCGCTGTCCCTCAGCTCTTTAGCTCAAGGCGAGCGCTCTACCACTTGAGCCACAGCACCACTTCCAGTTTTCTAGTGGTTTATTGGAGATAGGAGTCTCATGGTCTTTCCTGCCCGGGCTGGCTTTGAACCGTGATCCTCAGATCTCAGCCTCCTGAGTAGCGAGGATGACAGGCGTGAGCCACCGGCGCCCGGCTTGTACTTTTATTTTTTAACCCCAGTGCTGGGGATGAAACTCAAGGCCTTAACACCTGCTAGGAATGTGCTCTGCCTCGGAGCCACGCCCCTACACCAAGGTCACGCCCCCAAGGAAGCCACGCCCCTCAGACCACATCCAGGTAACACCAGGCTCCCCACACCAAAGCCTTGTCCCATGTGACACCACGCCCCTCGAAGCCACGCCCCCAGCCCTTCCCCACAGAAATCCCTGAAAGAGTTCTAGCCACACCCTCCTCACAGGTGCTGCTGTCCAGCCATAGGCCCTGCCTCACCCAGACAGAACCTTCCAGAAGGTCTCCACCATCACATCTTCATAAGACTTTCTCCAGGCAGCAGCCAGCCACCACAGCTCCTCTTTGCTGAAGACCACATCTATGTCCCTGATGTCATCACCTCCTGCCACGGCAAACACATGCCTGGGTCACATGCAGTGGCCACTGGGAAAGAATGTGTGGTCAGCCCTTCCTGGTGCTGAGAGAGGACACTCAACTTTCCTGTCACCTGCTACACAGGTGACTCCACTTATCTAACAACTGTCCACTTAGACAATGAAAATTGCAATGGTAATGAGTATGCAACCTCAAAATGATGCACATTAGCAGGGCACCAGTGGCTCACGCCTGTAATCCTTGCTACTCAGAAGGCTGAGCTCTGGGAATCACAGTGCATAGCCAGCTCGGGCAGGAAAGTCCAGGAGACTTCAAATAACCACCAAAAAAGCAGGAATTGGAGGTGTGGTTCAAGTGGTAGAGAACCAGCCATGAGCAGAAAAGGCTAAGGGACAGGACTCAGGCCCTGAGTTCAAACCCATGTAGCAGCACAAAGCAAAAAGAATAAAAAGAGATGTATGGTGTAAGGTAGGCATGGTGACACATACCTATAATCCAGGCTATCTTCCCCACAATGGCTACAAATAGATCATTAGGATGGCATATGAAAAGGGGACAAAAGAAAATGGTTTTTCATAGGAGAAATGGCAAAACTCGAGACTTTCTTCTTAAGTGTTTTTATTTATTATTTTTTGTCAGTCGTGGGACCTGAACTCTGGGCCTGGGCGCTGTCCCTCAGCTCTTCAGCTCAAGGCTAGCACTCTACCACTTGAGCCACGGCACCACTTCCGGCTTTTTCTGAGTAGTTTATTGGCGATAAGATTCTCACAGACTTTCCTGCCTAGGCTGGCTTCAAACCGTCATCCTCAGATCTCAGCCTCCTGAGTAACTAGGATGATAGGCATGAGCCACTGGTACCTGGACCTCCACTTCTTCCTTATATCACCTGATGCAGGTAAGGGTTTGTGAAGTTTCCCTTTAAGTGTAGGAACTCTTCGCTTAGGGTCCTTGACTTTGACCGCAGAATAAGAATTTCTGGACTAGTCGCGATGGTTAAGACAATTTGGCAGTGCTTTATTGAGTAAATATGCAAGGAGGCAAGCAGACAGATAAGCAGAAGGGCAGGGCCACACTCTTAATGAGTGTGGGTGCTCTCACAGGGAGATAGACCCACAGCTCTTTGGCTGTTAGGGTATTCATATGGAAAGGGTAGGAGGTCTGACAGGGGTTTCAGCTTTGCTCTGATCACTCCTGGTGTACTTTCTGAGTTTCTGGACGGTTGGGTCATCTCTTCCAGGTAAGAATGCATCTTATAAAACAGATCCTATCCTTGAGATAAGGCACCCTGCATTTCAAGTGGGAGATGGCTTGAGTTTGGGGGAAGCATACATCCTGTTAGGAAACAATGTATCCTGTTGTCTCTCTTAGAAGCAAAGATGGCACTTCTATGTTTCTAAATACCATGTTCTTGAGTTGCCTTCACCAGGCCTCATTTTCCTCAAATTATACTGCCTTGTTTCCCCCTAAATGACTTCAGTCCCTTAATCTTTTTTTCTTTCTTTCTTTTTTCTTTTGCCAGTCTTGGGGCTTGAATTCAGGGCCTCGGCACTGTCCCTGTGCTTCTTTTGCTCAAGTCTAGCACTCTACCACTTGAGCCACAACACCACTTCCAGTTTTTTCTGTAGTACTGAGGAATCAAACCCAGGACTTGATGCATGTTAGGCAAGCACTCTATCACTAAGCCACCTTCCCAGCCTCTGGTCATCTTAAGGCAATGAATACCTCCTGTATTTGCTGTAAGCTTACCATTCCTCAATTTTCCCTAGCCTAGCCTAGCCTACCCAGCCTCACTTCTTTCCCCTCCTTCCTTCCAACCCTTCCCTCATTCATTCCCTCTTTTCCTTTCTTCCTTCCTCTTTCCCCCTCCTTCTTTCCTTCTCTCTCACTCCTCTTCTTTTTAAAGGCACTATGTAGCCCAGGCCAGCCTCAAACTCAGGACTCACTTGCCTCAGTGCCCCCTCCCCCAAGACTCAATACTTTCAACCACAAAAATGGAGAGCTGACAGGGCATGAGAAAGATGGGGGGGGGCAACAGGCTGGGTATCAGGGAGCCACAGAGACCCTCGAATACTGTGAGGTCCCCTTGGGGACTCACCAGACAACCTCCCCCATGTTAGGACCAGTTTAGCCAAAGTAACTCCATTTGGTACAAGCAGTCATTTATTTTGTAAAGCATAAGTATGAGCTGACCTTGCCTGCATCTGTTGTTTGTGCAGTAAGGGCAAGCCAACCATGTCTGTAAGAAAAAAAGGAAAAAAAAATTTCCAAAAATCAGCCAGTTCCCAGAGACTAAGCCAAACATCAAGGTCGGGACAGGCCAGGTGGAGGCATCCAATCAGTAGAAAGCACACATGTAACCCTTCTGATTTAACCAATAAGAGTAAGACTAGCTACATGCTTACAGTTAGGTTTTTTTTTTTTTTTGCAAGTACACTTTATTCACCGTAATATCAAATTTAAAACATACATGTTTTGTTCACTAAAGTTAACAGGATAATTTGGGAAGCAGAGCCTTTCTCCTTTAAATTCAGCAATGTCTAGCTGTAGAAGTATTTTAGCTGCAATAAGATACCAAAAAAGGTGTTTTCTTTGTAAATCACTGAAGTATTACATAAAATGCCTTGGCAGGTAACAATACCACTCCTATTCTATTCTATTTTATTCTATGATATCTACTTAAGATGTTATGTTCATCATCCAATCATCTCACCAGAGCATTCACATTTTAATTATGTATTCATTTTGATTGTTTGCATGCGAGAAACCAACTAACAACATTAAGCCTGTTTCTTTTGAAGCCAAGATACTTTTGCTATTTTATAAAAAGCAAAGGAGACTCATTTTTCAAGATGCTGACAGCAGAATGCTGAAGATTCATGCTTGCTGCTTCGCCTGGGCTTCTGCCTCCTTTGAACCAGGTGGAGCTGTCAATCCTAAAAAAGCATACACTGCATTATTTTCTCGGGCTTCGAAGAAGGCATCATAATCCCCACGGTACTGGCTTTCATTGAAAATCTGAGGTGGCAGGGGATGCCCTGTGGCTGGTCGACTGTTTTCAGGTACATTTTCTCTCATCCACTTCCTGTTCTCTTCATTGGCTGCAATATCTTTCTCTTCAAATCCAATTTTGTTCGCTTCTAAGAAGCCAAGCACATCCTGTTGTTTCTTCTTAATCGCCGTAGAGCCGGAGGAGGATGCAATGTACACACGGATCACCATCCTGGAAACAGCAGTAGGCAATTGACTGTTGGGGTGTTGGAGCAGCTACAGCGACGGCTGGAATCTTACAGTTAGTTTATGATTTGTGGTTTTGCCCTATAAAAGCTAGCCTGTAAGACTAGGTGGGGTGGCTTTCTCCATAGAGATGGCCCTGACTGGTCAATTTGATTCTCGACGCTTGGCTCAAAATAAAAGCTTTGCTTAACTTTTGCTTTGTGTCAGCCTCGTTCCTTTGATCTTGGACTTTATCAGATGGGGGCTCGTCCGGGATCAAATGAGGAGGACTGAGCCAGTTTGAGTGGCCCACTTTCTTTACAGGATGACCACCAGAAGGAACATTTGTCTTGGCCCAAATCTACTCTACCCAGAGTTTACTCTGGAAGTCTTTGACTTCCATTGGGACCAGATACCATACATCGTGGCCTGGCAATATCTTGTGGAAAAGCCACCATCATGGTTAAACCCTCACCTTCCCCCCTGCTAACGAGACCATTTCTCTCCCTCTGAAGCAGATCAGATCTCCAAAATCAGAACAAGAGGGGCTGGGAAGGTGGCTCAGTGGTAGAGTGCTTGCCTTGCATGCCTGAGGCCCTGGGTTCGATTCTTCAGCACCACATAAGCAGAAAAGGCTGCAAGTGGTGTTGTCTCTCAAGTGGTAAAGTGCTAGCCTTATGCTGAATAGCTAAGGGACAGCACCTAGGCCCAAAGTTCAGGCCCCATGACCAAAAGAAAGAAAGAAAGAAAAGAAAAGGAAACAAAATCAGGACAAGAAGAAAAATCTAAAAAGACTGTTCTGCCCCTATCAACATAGAGGATCTGGACCCCCCACCTTACTCTTCCTCTAGACTCAACCCCCAACCCTGTCCTCCTCTTACTATCTCACGCCATACTCGCTCAGGATCTGCACATGGGGCTGCCGATCGCGGGGATTCCCCTTGCCCCGGTCTCTCACCCTCTCCTTTTCCTACCCCACACCCCGGTCCCTCTCCTTCCCCTTCTTCCCTCTATCCTCCTCTGCCACCTTGTTCCCCTTCGTTTCCAACGGCGCTGATTGCTGCCTCTTTGCGAGGTTGCTCCACCGGACAGCAGAGGGCACCCTCACCTGATCATATTCCTTTCTCTTCTTCTGACATCTATAATTGGAAAGCTCAGCATTAAGTCTTTCTCTGCCCACCCCCAGGACTTGATTAGTCTCTTGGAAACTGTCTTCCTTACCCAGCAGCCTGCCGGGGTGGACATCCAGCAGCTTCTTATGGCCCTCTTTAACGCGGAGGAGAGGGATCACATTATGAGGGAAACACATAAGGTGATAGCTGAGAGGTTAGGACGAGTCCCCCAGAGAATGGAAGTCTACTGCCCCAAAGAACCCCCTGACTGGGGCCCAAACACCAATGAAGGTAAGGAGAGCCTCCATGTCTACCGCCAGACTCTGTTGGGGGGACTCCGTGAGGCTGCAAGGAGGCCCATAAATCTATCTAAGATTAGCACAGTGACTCAAGGTAAGGATGAGTCCCCCGGCGGGGGAAGGGGGGAAGTGAGGGGGGAGTTTTTCTGGAGAGGCTCCTGGAGGCCTATAAAATGTATAGCCTGATCGACCCTGAGGCCCCCGAAAATCTGAGAACCATTAACCTTGCCTTAACTAGCCAGTCGGCCCCAGACATAAGGAAGAAGCTTCAGAAGATTGAGGGGTTTGAAGGGAAAAAAAAAACTGAGTTAGTGGGCATAGCAAAATAGGTGTTCAACAACAGGAATGTACAAGAGGATAAGAGACAGTATAAAAGGCTTGAAAAGGCTCTGGCATTACATGAGGTGGAAAAGAATCAGGGAAAAAGAGGTCAGTCTAAAGGAAAAAGGCAGGTAGGAGATGGATAGTGGAGGGAAAAGCCTAAGGGCAGGAAGAACACTCGGGAGGACTTAGATTCAGATCAGTGTGCTTTCTGCAAGGAAAAGGGACCCTGGGCCAAGGAGTGCCCTAAAAAGGAAATGACAATACTGGCCAACAGAGACTAAGGGGGCCATGGTTCGGAGCCCCTCCCCAAACCTCGGGTTAAGATTGAGGTGGAGGGGGGGCTGGGAAGGTGGCTCAGTGGTAGAGCGCTTGCTTTGCATGCTTGAGGCCCCGGGTTTGACTCCTCAGCACCACATAAGCAGAAAAAAAAAAGCCAGAAGTGGCGCTGTGGCTCGAGTGGTAGAGCACTAGCCTTGAAGTGAAGAACCAAGGGACAGCGCCCAGGCCCAGAGTTCAGGCCCACGACCAGACCCCCCCCAAAAAAAAAAAAAAGATTGAGGTGGAGGGAAAATCAATTGACTTTTTGGTGGACACGGGAGCCCAATTTTCATCATTACTAAAGCCTATAACAAAACTATCTGGAGAAAAGATCTGAGTACGAGGGGCAAATGACACAGAAAGACATCAATGGACAACTGAAAGGACTTTAAATTTAGCCTCGGGAATCAGGTTGTAAAACAATGGCTACTGTCGGGACCTCATCCCACGCTGACCTCCATATTTGGGTAACCCAAGGGCCATGCCAAACTTCTGCTTGGAGGGTAAGGCCGGACACCTCTTGTACTAAATTAAACATTGTAATAACAAATCCCAGAGACCTGCTTTGGAAATATGGCATAAAACTTGTGGTCTCAGATACTATAAAGGTGGCAAAGACAGTGGTGGGATGTTCACGATCCAAACGTTAAAACTATAAAACCACCCTGACCTATAGGGCCAAATCCGGTCCCAAATTCCCCAAGGTCATCAGAACCAACACAGGCTCCCACCACCTCGCCCCACATAAGTCCAGTATTGGTGATAATCACACCGCTGAAGTTCTACTTCCGTTGGTAAAGTCAATGTTAGCTTTGTAAATGCTTCAGACCCCAACATTACTCGAGGCTGTGGTTATGCTTAAATCCTCAGCCTCTATATTATATTAAAATAGAAACTAACCTGACCATAGAGACTCAAAAAGGCCAAATTAAAAATGAGAGTTCTTATGACTCATGTAAATGGGAAAAGGTGCCCAGGCTAACCTTAGGGGATCTAAAAGAAAAGGGACTCTGCCTGACAACAAAGACGGGGAAAATGAGCCTCCCCATAGCGAGACCTATGTCACACCATAATAGTCCCTACTGTTCCAACTAACTTCCTTAAGGCCCACACAGGGACTTGGTTTACTTGCAACTCGGGAATTGCACCATGTCTTAACCTTGCTTTGTTTAAAAACTCTTCCTGGAATGAGCTCTGTATAACTGCCCACATTCTTCCCCAAGTAGACTATTAGGGAGGACCCAAAGGATTCCAACATCTTACTGCTGGGATGGGACGGACACAAAGTGCAATTCCCATCCTGATTCCCGCGCTAGTTGTGGTGGGGATAGCAGGGTCCATGGCAGTAGATACAGCAGCTTTTTTTTTTTTTTTTTTTTGGTCCAGTCGTGGGGCCTGAACTCTGGGCCTGGGCGCTGTCCCTCAGCTCTTCAGCTCAAGGCTAGTGCTCTACCACTTCAGCCATAGCGCCACTTCCAGCTTTTTTCTTTTTGCTTATGTGGTGCTGAGGAATCGAACCCAGGGCCTCAAGCATGCAAGGCAAGCGCTCTACCACTGAGCCACCTTCCCAGCCCCAACAGCAGCTTTAATAAAGGAAACAGTAGATTTTGAGACCCTTGGATCTCAGGTAGATGCTGACTTACACCACAGGCATGAAAATTTAGACAAGGTAACTGATTCTTTGAGCTCTTTAGCTGGAGTAGTATTACAATTCAGAAGAGGACTTGACATATTGTTTCTAGAAAAGGGGGGACTTGCAGGGCCTTGGTGGCTCACGCCTGTAATCCTAACTACTCAGGAGGCTGAGCCCGGGGAAGGAAACTCCGTGAGACTCTTATCTCCAATAAACCACTCAGAAAACCAGAAGTGGCGCTCAAGTGGTAGAGCGCTAGCCTTGAGCTGAAGAGTGGAGGGACAGTGCCCAGGCCCAGAGTTCAAGCCCCATAACTGACAAAAAAAAAAGAAAAAGAAAAAGGGGGGCTCTGTGTAGGCCTGGGGGGAAATTTGGGGGGGGTTACATGGGGGTCATCAAAAACAGTTTGGCAGCTATCAAAAAAAGACTAGATAAATGCAAACAATGGCACAAAAACTCTCAAGGATGGTATAAAAGCTTATTCAGCTGGTCCCCATGATGACATCCCTAATATCAGCAATAGCTGGACTCCTGGTCGTATTAATACTAATATTGCTTTATGACCTCTGTATTATAAATACCTTAATGTCATTTGTATAAAAGAAACTTGGAGTGGTAAAAATGTTAGTCCTACAGGCCCAGTATAACCCCTTACAACAGGACATAAAATTGGCTGAAGAAGCCGGGCGCTGGTGGCTCACACCTGTAATCCTAGCTACTCAGGAGGCTGAGATCTGAGGATCGCGGTTCAAAGCCAGCCCGGGCAGGAGAGACCGTGAGACTCCTATCTCCAATAAACCACCAAAAAACCGGAAGTGGCGCTGTAGCTCAAGTGGTAGAGCACTCGCCTTGAGCTGAAGAGCTGAGGGGCAGCGCCCAGGCCCAGAGTTCAAGCCCCACGACCGACAAAAAAAAAAAAAATTGGCTGAAGAGTCAAGGCATTGACTCAGTTTCAAAGATAAGGGTGGAAAGTTAGGACCAGTTTAGTCAAAATAACTCCATTTTGTACAAGCAGCCATTTAGTTTGTAAAGCATAAGTATGAGCTGGCCTTGCCTGCATCTGTTGTTTGTGCAGTAAGGGCAAGCAAACCCTGTCTGTAAGAAAAAAAAAAGGGGGGGGGAGGGAATTCCCAAAAATGGCTAGTTCCCAGAGATAAAGCCATAAAGCAAGATCGGGATAGGCCAGGTGGTGGTGAAGGGTTAAAGTTTTGAGGCAGTGATTACTTGTTGCTTGTTCTAGCAGAGCAACAGGTGGTGGTAATCCAAACACCTGGTTGGTTGTGTGCCTTTATAAACCCTGAAAATCTTTAGCTCGGGGCTCTCCTCCTAGGCTCCTCTGTGTCGGAGTGTAGGACGAGGCCCGAGCTTCAGTCTGTTTAAATAAAACCTTAAAACAGCGGTAG